ACTAGCAGCAGTTGCACATGGGAAATAGATTGCACAGTAATTATTGTCCATTGATTATTACACATGGTTATTGACAAGACATTTATTTTATGTATTGTATGTATATTATGTATTTATGGGGAAAAAACCCAACTATATGCAGATAGACAGTCATATTTTGACACAGAAATTGTCATTAAATGTCATTAATTTATTAACTTAACAAAAAATGAATGTTGGTATGTATTGTTCATGAAGTGTTTTCATTATTGTTTGTTCAAAAACATGTACAAAAAGTTTGAGTGTGTTACCTATGATTATACCATTATACTTACTATTGTATTTAACTTCCCTTCATGCGAGTTTACTGCATCTCTTTTCCATATTTGTTCATCTCACACCCACTGTTTTTTCTCACATTGAAAAAAGGATTTTCTCTTTCTCTGTAACCACATTATTTCCACATTTTATGGTGCAATTACATGCTGCTTCTTATGTTGGATACTGTGTATTGTATGTCCGCTGTCACTAATGTGTTATTATGATATGCAATATGCCATGTAACAGCAGTGGGGGGGTTTATGCAATATATATTCCCTGAAGGGAAAAATAAATCTTGATTTAGTGTTATGATTAATGGTTTATGTTACAGTGGTTGTTTATCTATGTAGTGTATACAGAAGCATGTATGTAGTGTATGCCTGGTTGCATGGTAACAGTCTTTGATTGGGCACCACTCAGTTGTATATATCCTTTACCACATCACAGGGTCTGACCGTCTCAGCCAATCAAAACAGCAGCTCAGGAGTACATAATAGCTGCTGTCAGCACGCCATGCGTCCTGGCTGCACATACAGACCTACTAACACCATTAATATCTGGAAAAAAAACGGAAACTCAAGATGATAAGAAACAAAGGCAAGTGACAAAGAGTGTGTATGCATGTGGGGGTGGGGGTCATTTTGCAACAGGCTGAGACACCATAAGAGTATGATGTATGGCAGAATATGAATCAGGCAGGAAAAGGGGGAGGAGGGAGAGAACAGGGAGGAGAGAGCTGCTGCACATGGTAAGCACATGAGCTGCATGAAAAAAAGTAGGGATGTACAGTATGCATATACACAGGAAAAAGGGGAGGCGGAGGAGGGGGTGGCTTGGAGAGACATGGAGGGTGGGAGGGATGAGAGGCAGGGACAGGCTGACCCAGTTAGAAGTGCTGCATCACTAGTGGATCTACAGAGCAGAGACAAAGAGGAAGCAACGCAAAACAGGAGACTTAAACCAGAGAAAGTGTTCAAAGATCAGACAGATTTAGCAAAAAGTGTGTGGAGTCACAGACATGAGGGGGGGAAAAAATAAAAGAAATCTTTCAAACTAAGAACATGTGGAGTTTTTGCTTGTGTTGTATTTTTGGATATGCAAAAAAAATAAATTTCTCACATACAACTTTGGGAGAATCAAACATTATTTCCATAACCCCAAACCTAATTATAACAGTAACCATAACCCAAACCTTACATTTAAATGATCTCTCCAAAGAATCCAAAGTTAATGTAAAATCTTACAGAATGTGTACATTTAAAAATGTAAATGTCTTGTATATTTACACATTATTAGATCTTAGACATCATCACTGTCACTTAACCCTGTGAACTTGACTTAAATGCCTCTTGTATTTATATACTCTTATGTATTGTTTTACTTTTCCTAGTTATCTGTACATATTTCTATCCTTGTGCTGCTGCAACAACCACATTTCCCCTCTGATCAATAAAGGCTTATCTTATATTATCTTAATTCAGGTGTTGAGATCTGAACCTTAAAACACTTATTCTTATATAAACCACAATTCCAATTATAACCCAGTCTGAGGCTTGGAAAACATGACTCATGAGTCAAACAAAAATTTCAACTTTTTCTCAAAGTTTTTATTTTCTTACTTTGACAAAACAAATACAGAAATAAATTAAATGCCTCTGCTGCCTCCCCTAAGACACAAGATGTTAAACTTTATTATCTTTTCCATAACATCCATGTGACCACTGTTCACTTGTGCACAGAGTAGGGAAGCGGCAGTTTCTTTCCTTATAGGGACATTGAACCTCTCCATGCATGTTACCACTAGAGGACGCCACATCCTGCAACAAACCTCCTCCAAAGCTGCTCCAAACCTCCCCGTCGTCCTCCTCAGGCTTTGCAGGGATTAGAACGCTGGTCACGTAAACTATAGTGGGACTCACGTAAGCTATACTGGGATGACACACAAACCTATATATTAATACAGACCCTGCAGCTTTCTGCACTTGAAATTACTACTATCTGCCTGCATATGTTGATAAAGAAAAGCCAGCATGCTGTACAAAATTGTTAAATCCTCTCTGGGACAATCAATACTGCCTCATCTGACAGATACAGGTCTGTTGACCTTGAAACCTCTCAACACCTCTGTATCATGCCAGCTTATCGGAATCAATGCTGGCTTATATCTCACTGCAGCTCCTTTTGCTTTCTCTCTTTGCCATAAATCTGTATCAACAGTTTTGTCAGAGGGAGAGAAATGGGTGACCTAGAAGCAATATAAATGAGAAAGTGAGCCTCTTCTACCCTGTTTTGACATCTTTAGCTTGCATGAGGGGAAAACTGTGTGCATGAAAGAGTGGTGGCAGGCAGATGTAGGCCAATGTTTCTACTCCAGTGCCTCTGCTGAGAAACACGAGTTTCAGACTGAGACAGGTTTATTATCCTTTTATTAACTCCCATGAAGCCACTTCTCCCTTCCATGTGCAAATGTCTAGGCAGGTTCAGTCCACCACACTGTGTCCCCTTTACAACGTGAACCTTGTGCTGTAATAACTTTCCTTTTTGGCATCTGCATTCGTCCTTGCGTGTTACTCCTCCACTCCCCGTTTTCTCCACCCTCACAGACCTGCAGGACAGAGCAAGGTGTGGCGCATGCACACTTTCCACCCTGGCAACTGTTGCCAGGATACTGCAGAGCACAGAGAAAGAGTAATTGCTGTGTGGGTGAGTGAGCAGGTGTGTGTGTGTGAGCGCAGAAGTAGGCTGGGGTACCGTACATAATTGATAAGGGGGCCTGAACTGTCCCTGCTGCCTTCCTGATGTCTTTGCCTCTCCAGACTAAGCTTGCAGCGTAACTGGGCTGTACCTGGGGGATAAACATCAAAAGCCATTATATCATCCATCTAAGTGACTAAGATCAAAGTGAACTGTAATGTAACATAGTTTGTCTTCTTTTACTGTCTGTTTTTAATGATGTTGCATCTGGTCTTGGTGGAGAATAAAGATATATTCTATTCTGTTATATTTGTACCACATCCTCACCATCTCCCAACTTATATTTCATTAAAAAACACTATAGGTCAGGACTGATCTGTTCCTCCTCTGTAACTAAATTCAATAACAAAACTGATAGTCAGCATCTGAGCAGGGTCAGATGCTGACTATCAGTTTACTAAAGACGATATGAGACGATAGTGTAGCACCAGACTTACATCTGTGCACCAGAGCCAGATAGTTATACATAAATAATATTCGCTGTCTAGTGAAGCAGTTTTCCAGTTTTTGTCTAGTGACCCATTTCTTTCCTAAATGCTTTGCTCTGATGATTTGAAGTTACCAGACCCACATTTTTTATTAACATTGGTTAATAAAACATTGGTGTCCATGTCACTAAATATTTCTCTGATTGAACCAAATTGAACTTTCCAAATGATAACATTCTGTATTACCAAGTGTCACAACACCACCACACAAGTTTCACACAGTGAGATTAAATGGTTGAGAATGAGAAGAGCAAAAAGAAAATCTGAAGAAAAACAGCACTTATGTCTCAAACAAATTCCAACAAAAATTACCAAGCAAACCAAATCAGGGTAGCATTGAAATACTGCAATAGCACACCAGGATGCCTCAAAATATGGGATAGAGGAAGCACAACACGGTTGGCCTGACTGCTGTTCCACTGCATTCACACCTTGCAAACATAAATATATTTAATGTGGGATGAACTGGAACAGAACCTGACCTCTCTATGAAACCTTGCGGTGGTGAATCCTGTCTGACTCCCGGAAGTCTTTTTCCTTCATTTCACCTCTTCTCCTCAAAAGAAAGCACACAAATAGATAACGTATATTTACAGATTTTTATTTCATTATGTTGCAAACAATGACATCCAGATATAGATACACAACTTTTACTGTGCGTGTATGTGCATTTGTGAGTGTATGTGTATGTGTGTGTGTGTGTAAAGAGAGCAGTGAGACCACAGAAAGCAGAATGAAAATCCCGTGTGAGGGAGCCCTCAATGGGTTAACAAGGCAGAGATAGCGAGCAAGAGGGCACTGGGCGATTCTCTGGGCCGACATACACACACACACAAACCTCATAAAAAGGTGAGCAGACTTTTTCCTCTGAAAAACACACTTGCTATTGGGTGTGTGCCTGTGCTCTCAGCAGCGTAGGGATCATTAAGGTCCTGTGAGTGTCTACTAGAAAGCAAGTTTGTTTAAAGAGATGAAGTATGAATGAACACAGTGGGTGAGAAGCTTTGCCTCCTCTCTCTCTGACTATCAGAGCAGAGACGGTGGAGAGATTCTCCTGTCATAATATACAAACACACACACACTCACACAATGTATACACACATGTACACGTGCACTCGCTCGCAGAACCTCGTGTGATTCAACTAGGGAGCCGCATCCTGCTCAATTTTTTCTTCAACGTGTTATCATCTTCTCCTGGACAGCGTCCACTCATTCTCTTTTATGCTTACTCTCCTCACGCTTCTCTATCACCATCCACGCAGTGACAGACCACAACAATGGAGGCATGGAGTTAAACAAAGCAAAAACCTAAACCCCTTCAACAAGGGGTGCAGTCAGTTAACTGAAATCCACCTGTGCCAGCACACAAGGATATTTACCCTTTGACCCGACAGGAAGTCATGACAACAGTATGCAAATTCGGCAAATTTAACAGTATACAATTTTTTTTGTTTGATTCACCATGCAAGGAATACTTCTTATCTTTTGAGTGTGTTTATGTGTCAGAGATTGCGTGACATTTATTAAGCGTACCCTACATCCAGAATAATTTACATAAAAGGACAATAGTCATCTTAATAGGGCTGGACTGATGTAGGGGAGGAGGGAATAAGAGGTGAGCAAGGGGAGGGGACAGGGAGAAGGTAAAGCGCCATGGTCAACTATGGTTCTGAGTGCGAGAGGGTAGGGGCCGGGATGGGTGTCGGAACGGGTGTCGGAACAGAAGGAAGAGGACCGAGGTGCAGGAGAAGGGTGGGGTAGGGTGGGGCTTTAGGGCTGCTTTTGGAGTTTTGGGGAGGGGGGGGCAGGACAGATGGAGGCAGTCTCAGCGGCACTCCCAGACTTTGACTGTCTGATCGACACTGCCCGTCACCACGTAGGGAGCAGTCTTATGGAAATCTGCAAGAGAATTAAACATTTGTTCAGGCACGCTGCAGTAAAGATAAGATTAACTGTTTAAAAACAACATCAGCACAATGCTAAAATAAGTTTCATTTGAAGTACAAAGTGAGCATTTCCACTTGGGTTTACGTTCTTTATAATGACAGTTTAAGGGAAGGTTAAGCAGTAGTAACTGTGTCTTACCCAGAGAGGTAACAAAGTGTTCATGGGCACACAGGGTCTTCATGCAGCGTTTGTTCTTGTAGTCCCAGATCCTCAGGGTTTTGTCATCAGCACAGCTCACTATGAATCTTCCTCCAGGATGAACCAATACCCCACGCACCCAGTTGTCATGTCCCACCTGAAGAAACAGGAATGATTACCCACCACTCGCTCATTCGTGAGCAGTAACACTGAGACGGTCATAG